GAAAAAGCACTTGAACATTTTTTGTTTCTGATTCATAAGGCAATTAAGCAGGTTACTGCTTTGCACTCCAGCCATTAAGCACTATGAATACCTGTCGTAATCCTTAAAGCAGCAGGTCTCAAGTGCCCTTGAGAGTAAGAAGCACGTTTTGTCTACAATATAACATTGTGTAAAACTAGCAGGACACATCACGTTGTACTGCCGATTGCCAAACCGTGTTGTGTGTGTTACTTTTCAAAAAGCATAAACATAATAAATGTTGGGTAAAACCATCATTAAAGCCACCCTGCCAGGTGACATAGAAATAAAGATTAAAGCTCCCTGCAGGAATGCTTCTTTCCCCCGCAGCTCGCTGTGCTGCCATCTTCTCACCCCTAGGTCACAACGTGAAAAAACAATTTATTTATTTATTTATTTAGTATTGGTATTTATATAGCACCAACAATTTACATAGTACACATTCACATCAGTGCATGCCCTCAAGGAGCTTACAACCTATGGCCCCTATTAGGGATGCACCGATACCAGTTTTTCGGTATCGTGTTTGAGTACCAATATTTTTTTTTTGGTACTCACGGATACAGAATACCAATACTGGAAGTCCCAATAAGGAAGCCGGGCAGTGTGTAATTACTAAATCAATCAGGAAGCTGAGTGGCAAATCATTACACGCCGCCCAGCTTCCTGATAGGCTGTGAAGCCGGCTCCATGCTCCCTCATCACCAAGTGACGTGGGAGCATGGAGCTGGCTTCCCGGCCAATCAGGAAGCCAGGGGGCGAGTCATTACCCACTCCCCTGCTTCCTGGTTGGCCAGGAAGCAAGCTCCATGCTCCCTTGTGACGGGGGAGCATGGAGACTGCTCCCCGGCCAATCAGGAAGCTGGACAGCATGTAATGACTCGCCGCCTGGCTGGCTTGGACAAGTACAAGTACTTGTCCAAATACACGGTAACGGCACCAATGCCAATGCTAGTATCGGTGTCGATGCATCTCTAGTCCCTATCTGACATGCATACAAGGGCCAATTTAGACCAAAGCCAATTAACCTACCAGTATGTCTTTGGAGTGTTGGAGGAAACCGGAATACCGAAGGAAAGGGATTAGAAAAAAGGAACCACAATGCACAGCAGGTAAAATATAAAAATCCAGCACCCTAGCAAATGTTCAAAGCCCTGTCACGCTGGGCATTCTAATGGTTGAGACACCTCCCTAGCAGAATAATTATACAGTAGAGGTGGCAGGGAATGCTTTCTTTAAGATCAGAAACAAAGGGAAATCTCCATTCTTCCAGAGATGGAACAAAGCCATAGGGGAAGGGAAAAGGTCACTTTTATTGTGGCCCAGGTTGCAACACACATGGTGGCATAATATCACCTTTAATTAAAAAAAAAAAAAAAAAAAAAACAACTTATTTCCACTTTGCCTTTAAAGTGAATTTTTAACCCTTCCCCAAAATATAAAATGACCCTAGTTAGTGAAACCAGAAAGTGGTTCAGAAGGTGAGTACAGTACATGCTGCTTAAGCTCAATAGAACAAATGAGACATGTTACTTTGATCAGTTTGGCCAAACTACAGACTTATTTTAAAGTAGGCATGCAAAACTGATGTTGTTTGGGCTGTATACATGGCCTGCTCACTCCTTCTCTAGGGTCCCCAGTGGTTGAAGGATAAAAAAAAAGAATGTTCAGTCTAACATCAATGGTATGCAAACTGTTTGAGGGAATGATAAAGGACTATGCAGTGGATTTTGTTTGTGAAAAAGGTATAATACGTGATAATCAGCATGGATTTAGGAAGGTCCAGACCAACCTTCTAATATTCTACGAAGAGGTGAGTAGAGCTCTGGATGGAGGAAGGCCGGTGGATGCGGTATATCTGGATTTTGCAAAAGCGTTTGACACGGTACCACATAAACGCTTAATACACAAGCTGAAATCTATGGGCATACTGTAGATGTAGGATAGAGAACTTGCTACAGGAATGTGTCCAGACAGTATTGATAAATGGCTCTTTTTCACATTGGTCTAAGGTTAAGAGTGGCATGCCCCAGGGTTCTGTGCTAGGCCCAATACTGTTTAACCTGTTTATTAATGATATTGGGGAGGGCGTCAATTGCCATGTTTTTGTGTTTGCAGATGATACTAAAATTGGGAGGGTAAGAGACACGGGCTCAGACATTATAACATTAGAGGAGGACCTGAATAAAATAGAGGTCGCCACTCTAATGCAGAATGGCACCGGCTGTGGGGGGACTACAAATCCAAATCTCATCAATGCATTATACAGCAATGCAGAACAGTATATGAATTGGACTCTGGACTTAGTAACACACTGGACTCTGGACTTATAAAGTGCTGGACTCAGGGCTTAGTAACCCACTGGACTCAGGGCTTAGTAACCCGCTGGACTCAGGGCTTAGTAACCCGCTGGGCTCAGGGCTTAGCATTGCGCTGGACTCAGGGCTTAGTAACACACCAGACTCTGGGCTTAGTAATGTGCTGGGCTCTGGGCTTAATAACCCGCTGGACTCAGGGCTTAGTAACCCGCTGGACTCAGGGCTTAGTAACCCGCTGGACTCAGGGCTTAGTAACCCGCTGGACTCAGGGCTTAGTAGCATGCTGGACACTGGGCTTAGTAGTGCGCCGGACTCTGGGCTTAGTAATGTGCTGGGCTCTGGGCTTAATAACGCACTGGACACAGGACCCACCTGAGACCCCACACATACCTGAGACCCCACACAGCCCACCTGAGAGTGACCCTGCAGAGCACACCATGTGACAAGTGATGTCACTTCCAGCCGGTCCAAGATCAGAACACTGGCGGCGCTGCTGGGCCCCCAGCCTCCTCCGAAGCCACCAGATCAGCGCTGCTGGGGCCCAGCTTCCTCCAACGCAACTCCCGCGTTGCGGGGGCCCAGCTGCCTCCACCTCCTCCCTTGCTTTCACCTGTATGGCCGTCGGCCGATACCCATGTAAGGGCCCCCCAGCCTGCCCGGGCCCCTCACATGAGTATCGGCCATATTACCCTGATGGCGGCCCTGGAAGTGAGGAAATTGAGAGGGAACATGATTTTGATGTACAAAATGTTTAGTGGTGATGGCAACATCAGCAATAAACTTTGTACTGTAAACTCCATAACACAGACTAGAGGTCACCACCTAAAATGAGTGGAGAAAAGATTTAACCACACAGGGTGTAGGGTCTTCTTTTCAGTCAGAGTGGTTACATTTTGGAACTCTCTGCCACAAGCAGTGGTATCAGCAGAGATTATTGAGTTATTCAAAAATCAATTAGATACCTTGCTAAGAGATCGTAAAATACAGGGGTACAGGTACTCTTAAAAACTAAGACCGCAGAGGGACTCTATACACACATGCAAGCACAACACACACAGGCACACAAACGTTGAACTTCATGGACCTGTGTCTTTATTCAACCTCACATACTATGTAACTAAGTAAGTAGTGCAAGGACATGTCTGATTGGATACAAATTGATTGGATAGGTAATAGATAGCTAGGTCCTCATATTACATAGTTATGGTAGATCTAAAGTTGACTGTGAAGAGATTGCATATGATGAGACTCAGGCTTTCAAAAACATGTCCATTGATATAGCTTCTCCATTATCTCCCAGTACTGTAAAGCAGCAATGGTATACTCGCTTGATATATGGGCCTCAAGTGTGGCCCCTGACATCACCAAAGACGTGCACATAATGTATGTAATGCTACAGAAAATGGCCAGAGACTGCACACATACTACAGTAGAGACTACAGACATGCTACAGGCATGATTGAACACTGGGAACATGCTATAGAAAACTGTCAGAGACAAGAGACAGAAGTTAAGGCCATTACAAGATAACACTGACCACTAGTCGCTGGGGCTTGAGGACCAAATAGTAAGTACCAAAGGGCCGCAGGTTAAGCCACACAAATCTGACTTTCCCCCCAGGCCACACTACAGCAATTCTTCAGTCATAATTCTCTCAGCAACTACATGATATAAATTCACATTTGTTTGGCAGCTCCGTAAACAGAACAGCCCCAGACGGCACAGGTACACCTTGTTATGTCGTCTGCACCTTCATGGCTGTCTGACTCTGAATAGGGGATCATTTCATCAAGCAGAAAACTGGTTTTCTGGCAGCTGCCTTGAAATTTGCAATAACACTGAGCCTCACCCGTCGCACTGATAAATCATCAGCTTCTTCCTGGGATGTGTTGGGAAAGAACAGCAAAAGCATACCAAGAGAATACCAAGAGAATGTGAAATCAGACTCCCCCACCCTGGTACATAATGATTATCTCTCCATCTACATGTGTGAAAATTGTCAGATTTCACAATATCAGTTCTCCACAAGAGGTGATGAAGCATTAAAGGAATGGCAGACGTACATTGTTGAAGCCTCGCCCTGGATGCACCGATTAGGATTAATGTCACAATTCAAAAAGACAAATTTATATATTGCCCACGATAAGGCTGTTTTTGTTAATCAATTTGATGGTACAGATATACAAAAAGTGTATGTGTCGTGTACCTGGTGGACTTGTACAAATACTGAGCTGCTGGTAAAGCTCTCTTTACACCAAGGATTGACACTCCTGCCTGAGAAATATGATTGTTTGCAGGGGGTGTACGTTTTGAGTCCATCAGTGTCCTGTTGACCACTGCTTAAGCCCTGATGGGGGATTCCTGAACTCCGAGATGGGTTGGCTGTGCATATTTGTTTATCACCATTTCTCAAGCCAATAAAAGTTTTTTTGGACTCTTGAGGTGATTACCTGGTGCTCTTTATTTTAGTCTTCATTCACATGGATTTCTCATTCTGGGAATCCCCTCCCTTCATAGGCCTTAATTTTGTGAAGAGCTGCCGATACTGAGCCATCAGGCCCAAATTTTGCTCCAATTCAACTAGAGAATGTTCCCTGCTCACCCTTGCATACTTGGTGGAGTTGATCAGGGGGCTTCTCTTGCATCTCCCGTTCAACTCTCCAGGGAGTGTGATGACCTAGAGTGGCTTCGGTGCATGGACCAGATGTCTGTAGACTGCAGGGCAGAAACCAAATGCAGGAACAAAAAGGTACCTATCACATACCTGAATGGAGACCCAACTGAAAAGGGGGTTACCCATGCAACTCTCTTTAAACACCTCTGGAGGTGGTAACAGGGGATGTAAGGACAGAGAGAGGCACAGGCGCTGGTACTGGTGGATGGCCGGTTTTTGTAGAGGCGTTTTTGTACATTGGACCAGCTGTATATCTGCAGGGTCGGGATGACACATGGACCTCTTGGAACCAGATCAGGCAACAGGTGAGGGGCCAGTGGAGCACTGTCTGGATGAAGTGGTTCAGAGTACTGGTGGAGCGATGCACCAAGTGGCAGGCCAGGAGCAAAGTCAGGTTCAAGCCTAGGTTATACACGAGAAGCAGAACCTTGAAGTGTCGAATCACATATCAGGAGCAAAGTCACCAGTCATAAGCCAGGGTCATACACGGGAGAGCAGGGAGTCGAGGTACCTAATCAGAAGGAGGAAGTGGAGTCAATGCAGGACACACAGGGACAAGCTGAGGACCACTCAGCAACTTGACAATGGCCACAGTTTATATATGGAAGTATGCACGGGTGCCCGTACGCTAACAAATGTGCGCTGTAAGCTCACATGTATGCGCTATTATGCATAAATGTTTTAATGTGCGCATGTCCGTGTGCCAAAGCGCATTTACCTGGAACTTTTAGCATAGGATTGCATGCTCGTGTGCGTGCACGTCTTTGAGGAGGAACCAGTTTGTATGTAAGTCTCTCACAGTACCAGTGCAAGGGAGAGGTCAGAAACAGCAGGTACCAAATCGGGATACAGAAGCACAATCGGGGTACAAGCCAAGGTCGTAAACACCCAGGCAGTGGAGTATGAGGCAGAAGGCACTAAGCAAATCCAATAGTCATGCCAAGTGAGCAGAGATCCAAGGTCAGAAGACATAGTGGGTAGGCAGAATTAGAAGTCATGTTGCAGGTAATCAAGAACTTGCTGAAGACCACTCGACAATTTGTTTATTTCAAACTCCAGTTTATAGAGGCCATTAAGCATCAACAATAATACAGCCATGCATCAGTGCTTAGCGTGCACACTAATGCGTGTGCACCTGCAAGATAGTGGTTGCCTGGGCATAAGCCCATGAGCCACAGTATGTGCACATGCTGGTTTTCTAGAGTTGGAGAGTACTGAACTTTCCTTATAGTATGTTTTTTTTTAATGCCACCTTTTTTTGGGCGGGAGGCATTTTGATCTGCTTTAATCCTTAGGGGTCAAAGTGCTACTGAAACAGTTGTGACCCCCACTTGTTCCCATTTTTCTCTGGGGTCTGAGCCTTCTGAATATATGTTCAAAGAGATATTGACTGTCTCTATAAACTTTACTGGGATATTCAAGATAGTATGTAAACTCCATAGGACGAAGAATAATTTCCAGTGTGTTAGTTTATGTCCTGGAGTCTATTGAATGGCACAACACTAAAGAAACAACTCATGGGAAATTAAAGGATGAAAGAAAGCTACAGATCCAGTGGCCTGAATAGAACAAGCAGCTTTGTAGAATCTTCGCTTCCATATGATTATGCAAACCAGCAGAGAAAGTAAAAGGATATTACAATAGGGCAGGACACGGCATCACCGGCTGATATATTGTGAACCAAGAGAAGAAAAACAGTACAGCCATGATACATGAATAATAAAAAGTGAAAAATTATAAATGTTGTTCATCTGTGGACCAGCAAATTAGCTATATTGGGCCAGTTTTCAAACTCATCAGTTCATTACTCTGTGGCAGGGGTAGCCAAACTTTGACCCTCCAGTTATGGTAAAACTACAAATCCCAGATTGCATCAGTCCCTGGGAGTCACGTAGCTGTCAGAATCTTGCAATGCCTATAGGACTTACAGCTCCACAACAGCTGGAGAGTCAAAGTTTGGCTACCTCTGCTCAATGAGAAGCGAGATTGTGATTTTCTGCATAATGACATTGCATCTTGCATGACCTTGCAGTATGTAAAGTCAATGCACAAACCACAAGCATTCAACACTCAACATTGCAAAAGAAAAAGATATCAGCCACGTTGATACCTTTGCGTTTGAACACGCTTATCGTAGTGCAAAACAACGGATGTGTCATAGGAACACATTTAAAGCAATGAGCCTGCTTTGAACTCCATAGAAGTTTATGGCATTCCATTAGAATAAATGGCATTTTGATGCGTTTTAATGAACTTACGTGCGTTTCCAGCCCTTGGTAACATACCTGCCATGTACTCACACACTGCAATACTTCAGAAGTTCTGATATGGTAGGCTTGCGGTCCTCCCTTCCTGTATGATTCTCTCCCGCCATCACTACAGAAGCACTACATGAGCCTGGGAAAGCTCAGGAGACCTATTTTTTTCCGCAGTGGGGGAACGTATTCTTCCTTTGTCCAAATTATTCTACGCCTTTTCTACGTATCTACGCCTCTTATGTTCCTTCTCTTCCTCCTGCTGAACAAAGAGTGGAGAAGTCACTGCGACAGCTGCTAAAAGAGATGAAATGTTGATATTGTGATCAAATTCCTCAACACAGTAATCCAAGAAGTAGATCCTTCCCAAAGTCTACAACAGGGGTTTCAAAGTACCAGTCTGTGAACCGGTACCATTCAGCCCCTTAGCTGACTGTCAAGTCAGGTACCTTGTACCTGACTTGTAAGAACAGCTACAGGGTACGCACTGCACATGACACTTGCATTGTAGAGTGAACTGAACACATATAAACCAATTGCTTTCTATGTGCACTAGCGGTGACTAGTGTTGTTCAATTGCTGAAAAATGCTGGTCATGGCACATAATGTGAATGAGTCCTAACAAGGCAACTCAAGTGGACAACTAAAATTAAACAAATCACAGGGCTGATTTATAGTGGCTTTCCTATGCTGCTCGGCTCCACCTAACGTCAGTAATGCTATGTGAACGGCGTTTGCACCTATAGTGAGGCGCAGCCTTTCTTTCTTTTTTTTCAGTCACAGTACCCTTTAATTGTATGCAAAATCTCAAGGAACCACAGTCTAAAATGTAAAAAGGTAATAAACAACATGTGGTCCCTCTAAAACCCATACCAGAACCTTATCGCAGATTTTAAGGGGAGATCTGATGCAAAAAAAAAAGTGGGATTCCCTCCTTTACATCAGAACCCCCTTTCACATTAGGAGCACCCTGTCACATCAGGAACACCCCTTCACCTCCCTTTCATCAGAAGCCCCCTTCATGTCAGGACCCCCTTTACATCAGAGCCCCATCCATTCACATCAGAAGCCCCCCTTTCATATCAGAATAACCCCCCATTACATCAGAGCCCCATCCATTCACATAAGAGTCCTCTCCTTCACATCAGAAGCCCCCCTTTCATATCAGATTCACCCCCTTTACATCAGAGCCCAATCCATTCACATCAGAGTCCCCTCCTTCACAGCAGAAGCCCCCCTTTCATATCAGAATAACCCCCCATTACATCAGAGCCCCATCCATTCACATCAGACTACCCTCCTTCACACCAGAAGCCCCCCTTTCATATCAGAATAACGCCCCATTACATCAGAGCCCCATCCATTCACATCAGAAGTCCCACTTTCATATCAGATCCCCCCCCCCTTTACATCAAGCGCCCTGTTCACTTCAGTCCTGCTGTCACATCAAGAGCCGCAGCTGTTGTCTACAGCAGCAAGGGAGAGAGTGGGAGGTGAACATGGAAAGACATGACACTCTGCAAAAATTTTGAGGCACCGATGAGGGAGCCAGAAGTCACCCTGGTTGAGGAAAGCCCCTTTCACATGGGTGGCGTCTGTTCTGATGAGCAGGTAATCCATGCACAGATCTCGAGTGATCAGAGCATTGTTACTCTTGTGACATCCAAGTCCATTCAGTTTTTTTCCTGGAAAACCTAACTCATCGGACCCATGTTAGGTCTATGGGGGAGTCAGATGTATGCGGACTTGTGTCCATTAAAATCCGATTACCTCCAGTCCATCACGATCAGGTCCACCAGAACGGAACTCTGTTCTGTTTAGCTTTCTAGACCTGGATGGCATCGGGGGTAAAAGGATGTAAATGGACACAGGTCCGTTCACATCCGCAGACCCATAAACTAACATTGAGCTTCCAATTGGGTCCACCTAAGAAAACTGACAAATGGACCCGATCAGAATTCCAAAGGCTGATGCAGCACATAAAAATACTTAAAACAGATCATTGCAATGAATAAAAAAAAAAAAATAGCAGGATTCTATAAAGCAAGTAAAGACGAGACAGAGAGGTCACCTATAACATTGTACTGTCTAGAATTTTCCCCAGACACCTATAATTGCCTCCTGTCTGTCCCTAAGGCATAGAACGTGGCTTTAAGGCGATGAAGAAAAAGGAAAAAAAAACAGGAGGACGTTAGTAAGATCAGCATAACAGGAAAAATATTCTCATAAAAGTTGAATGTCACCCCGCCTCGGCTCTATTGTCCTGGACCACAAACGCTCCAGGCAGGTTTCACAAGGGATGCATGTTACATCTGCTTTTTTAAACAGGTGGGCACAGCACAACAGGTAAACAGAGCATAAAAAATCCTGGAGGAGGAATGTGCACGCTGAACAACTAGAGACCCACCCACTCTCCAATATAAAGGTGACACAGAGACAGTGAGCTCACCTTCCTACATCCTCTCTCCATCACATCTCTCTAGTTTGTACATCGCTACTGCCTGCATCATGTCCACCAGCAGCTACCAAGTCAGATCATCCAGCCATAAGATGGCAAGCAACAGCAGAGGCAGCGGCTATGGAGGGTACAGCAGCGCCTCCTTGTCCGGAGCCGGGTTTGGCGGCGGTTTGATGTCCCAGAGCACCTCTGCAAACTATGCCAGCTCCGGCTTCGGCGGCAGCGACGGGCTCCTGTTAGGCGGCGAGAAGCACACCATGCAAAACCTAAACGACCGCCTGGCAAACTACCTGGATAAAGTGCGAGATCTGGAGGTCGCCAATGCCGAGCTGGAGAAGAAGATTCGAGAGTGGTACGAACAGCACAGCGCCACTAACAACTCCCAGAGCCGAGATTACTCCAAGTACTTCAACATCATCGAGGACTTGAAGAATAGGGTGAGCAACAGATTATTCAATTAAACATATTATAAAATAAAGGGCAAAAAGACCAAGAGCAAAAAAAAAAAACAGACCTTGAGTTGCCCATGGCAACCGATTAGCCTCTCTCTTCAGTTTGTTCAGTTAAGCTTTGAAAATGAAGGAGAGATGTTGAATGGTTGCCGTTGGCAACTGCTCCAAACTCTGTCTGCTCCAGTTTTGATGAATTTCTTCCATTGCTTTTATTAACTTGAATGCGGTAAACTTTGCTTACCATAACATATGCATTGTCATTAATAATGATGGTTCAATGTATATCTGTGGTGTAGATAAGAGCTTGAATCTACTCTATGAGCAGCCATATTAGGCTACAGAAGGCTCAGTAGAGGTTAACTGTGGATGGAATGCTGAACAGGATGTTAGCTCTGTAAAAGACAATAGCTGTTCCTGATTTAACAAGTTTCAGGGTATTTCCATAAAGAAAAATGCAAAAATGTACAAAGTGCATTAACTCATAGCAAGGGACGGGGGTAGACAACCTCGGTACCCCAGCTGTTGTGGAACTACAAGTCCCATAAGGCATTGCAAGACTCTGACAGCTACAGGCATGGCTCCCAGAGGCAGAGGCATGAGGGAATTTGTGGTTTCACCACAGCTGGAGTGCCGAAGTTACCTACCCCTGTATTAGACCACTGTTCTTTTGTAAAAGAGTTATTTAGGATAGCCTTTAATACATATATTAAAGGTTCCTTATTTGTAGAAAAGTGAAGATATTTGGCATTTTATTTGTAATTCTCAGCAGATATTCTGTGCAATCAGCTATAGTAGGCAATGGGAGGCTTATTGGATGCTGTCAGTGACATTTCTGTACATGGATTTAAAGGTCAACTTGAACCTTGGTGTGGTTTATGTATATCTTCCAGACCTGTGCAGTAATCCAGTGTTGTAGCTTTGCCTCTGTGCAGGAGCTTCTTGTAATAAAGACCGGTCACTGCTGCTCTCTCTGTCTCTCCTTGTGCAGGGTGTCTGGTCTTGTTTCCACCCCCCTTCTGTAATAAAGACCGGTCACTGCTGCTCTCTCTGTCTCTCCTTGTGCAGGGTGACTGGTCTTGTTTCCACCCCCCTTCTGTAATAAAGACCAGTCCCCGTTGCTCTCTCTTCTTGTGCAGGGTGACTGGTCTTGTCTCTGCCCCCTCCTGTAATAAAGACTGGTCACTGCTGCTCTCTCTCCTTATGCCGGGTGACTGGTCTTGTCTCCCCCTCTCCTGTAGTTTGCTGCAGGCAGCCTGTAGTAGGTGGAGCCTGCTGGGTCCCTCCCACAGTTCTGCTCTCTGCACAGGCTATGTACAGCACAGCACGTTGATGATGTCAGTGCTACTTTTACAAGGAAGGCCTGGGTTTGTAAAGGCATTTGGTGCACACAAAGTAGATTGGCATCCTTTGTGGCTATTGGGGAATATTTCTAAATGAAAGTTTTTGTACCTGGAGTTCAGCTTTAACGTTGACTTTAGATTTTAAATGTAGGTAGATTGTTCCACCTTGTTGCCCCTATGCATATATTAACAGTAACAGCCATGAAATAAATAGATGTTCACTGGGGTGGATGCCCTTTGGGGCTGACCAGCTACTGGTTTCTATATGAGGCAGCCAATTAGTGTATCTGCCTCACATTGAGCCCTTTAGTTCCATTGCCTCATGTAGAACCTTCATCAACTACAGTTAGGAGTCAGAAAAGCAGAACGAAGTATTTCAGGAATGTAATAATTGTTTTGTTAAAGAAGCAGCAGATGACATAAAGTACATTTATGACTTTTTGGTTGCCCCAACTGCTTGTCCCCATAATATAGTTGTAGTAAGTAAGACAAAAAGCAATGTGCAGAATACCCTTACTAACCAGCCAATCAAAATCCAGCTTTCACTGACCAGACTGTAGCAAATTATACACTGGCTGCTACAGAAAAACCCCATTCATAACTAAGCGTGAGCATGATCAGGCTATTTAGAGGTGTTTTTTGTGCATTTTTACACATGATTTGTAGTAGAGTAGCAGAATGATGAGTTGTTGGCCCCATAGGCGTGTAAACACACTTTTTTTAGGTGCTCCCATTAAAGTCTACGGGGCCAGAAATGCACAGTGCTGCCCCATAAGAAGCTTTTGTTCTGGGAACAAGTTTCTGGTGTCAGCAGGCCCATGCAAAATTATGGGATTCTTGATCTTGAGAGTTGTCTCGCTTCAAAAATCATGAGTTATTCAGGTGTGAATGGGTATGTTGAGAAGAATGGGATGCTTCATCTTGAGCATTGTTGTGCTTGGGGAACATAATGCTCAGGTATGAACGGGCCCATTGGGAAGAATGGGATGCTTTATCTTCGAGAATTGTGCAACAAAACAATTAGACGTGAGCTCCCAAGTGTTTTGTTGCTCTTTCCCTATTCCCTAGTAACACTCAACAACAAAAATCCCATTCTTTTCAATTGTGGCTGTTCACGTCTGAAAGTTCAGTCCCTTGTAGTTCGACACCTGCCCACAAAAGAACCTTTTAATGGAGCATGATGCGGCATTGAATGGGACCTTACTGTACTCAGCACATTATCAATCTCCTTTGTGTTTTATTATTGAATAAGCATTTTATATACGCTGTTGACTTGTCTTTTCTATACGTCCACGGGTTATCATGGGTTTTAAATATGCAGCTCAGATATCAGATATTATATATCCCTGTATATAACATATAGGCACACTAGACACATGCCTGAGGATCCAGCAGTAAAAACACGTCTAGGATAACTTTTACTATTTGTTTTTCCATTATATATATCTAAATAATGAAAAGGTGGTGTTGAGTGAAGGGAAGTAAGCTGGAGGATATCTGGTTACTTTTTTTTACAATGAGTGGCGTCACACTGAAATACAACCTGCTGCTGAGGATTCATTTCTATACATACAGTGTGACAGGGATGCCTGGGAGCAGTCTTCCTTCTATACCTATAGCAGAAAATTGTTATGGTAGAGCACTGAACCACATCCTCGAAGTGAGGTGGAAGTTGTGACTCTAAAACCAAAGAAGGCAGCTCTCTATCAACCTTGGGTATTCCCAAGGGTCCCTTACAGTAAAAATAGGTCAATTATCAGAGGGCCACAGCGCCAGTAACAGTCCAGTTCATTTTATTGTACAAGAAATTAGCCATTGCATTTAGGGGGTGCAAAACTCCCCCTTCATCAGGGCAATTTAGTGATGTGCATGTAGACAGCTGCAACATCTGCATTAATATTGAGGAGGAGCCTGGTTTGCTTCTTGCTTTTATGCTGATGTAGCTGATTATGCTCCAAAAAGCATCCTCCTCTATGAGTTTGCAGCTGTGTATGTGCACAAAATAGCCCTGATGAAGGGGATGTTTTGAGCTCTTGAAATGTGTTTTCTTCTACGATAATATTAACTGGTGCTGGAGGGCTCTCATATTTTACTTGCATTCACTTATATACCAATAGAGCAGAACATAAACTGTGATTGTCCAGCAGTATATAATTAATAACCCATATGTACCATATGCCTTTATTATGCAAAGTAAGCTCACCTTATTGAGTCAAGCCTGAAAGATGACTCCTCATTATTTGAATGGGCTGCTACACCTATGCTTTAGGAAGCAGACATGAGACATTGGATAACCATGTCTGTTTAAAGAAGTCTTCCACCTTCAGATGGATCAGTCCTCTTAGTTTTAAAATGTTGTTTTGTAGCTTGCAGTATTTAGTGGCTTAGTTTTTAGTTTAGATCTCCCATTTGTTGCTTCATTTTGTACTTTTCAATCATGTTTTTATGTAAACATGAAGAGGTTTATACTTCCTATGCAGTATGTAAAGCTGCACTCGGATTACAATAGTCCTTGACAGATGATACAGGTTAGCTCATTTGGGTTCCAGGATAATGGCAGTGTTTTACTATAAAGCTGAACTCCGGGAATAAGACAAAATCTACCCCTGCAGTGCAACACCCCCCC